GAGAGAGAGAGACAGAGAGAGAGAGAGAGAGAGTGTCTTATGTAGCCTAGGATGACCTCAAGCGTAACTATGTAGCAAACAATGACTTTAAGTTTAATATCCTCCTTCCATCCTTTGAAATATGGATGTTATAGTCCCATGCGACCAATACTTTCCTTAAGAAAGTGCCTCTGAAAGAAAGAAGCTAGAAGAAGCTGAGGTGGAGGGTGACCCCGATAGAAGACCAGCAGTCTCAACTGACCTGGACCCCTGAGATCTCTCAGACACTGAGCCACCAACCAGGCAACATACACCAGCTGGTCTGACCACCCCCCCCCCACACACACACACCATATACACACACACACACATAACACATATACAGCAGAGGATTGCCTGGTCTGGCCTCAGTGAGAGATGATGCACCTAACCCTTGAGAGATTTGAGGCCCCAGGGAGTGGAAAGGTCTGATGTGGTGGAGACAACCTCTTGGGGACAAGGTGGGGGGGAGGGAAGAGGTATGGGATGAGGAATAGTCAGAGGACAGACCGGAGGGATAATGGCTGGACTGTAAAAAAAAAAAAGATGAGAGAGAGAGAGAGAGAGAGAAAGAGAGAGAGAGAGAGAGGAGAGAGAGGAGAAAAAATGAAAGAAAAAAAAGAAAATGAATAAACTAGAATTTTGAATACTGTTTTAAATAACTTTTAGCAAACTTACATAACAGCACTGTGGCCCATCTTAATAAACATGGTTGAGATACCATTTAGAACATGTAGACCAATTACTGTCTGATAGAAAAGAAAGGGCCACATATAATCTTCAGTTGCTGAGGAGCCACATTAAAAAAAAAACAAAGTTTAAAAGAACAGATGCCACTGAATATAATAGACTATATTTAGCTTACAATATGCCAAATACAATCATTTCCTTTACAGCAAATATGAAACTATCAATGGAATATTTTACCTTCCTTACATTATTGAAAATCCACTGTGTATTTCATACCTACAGCAAATTCCACTTCAGGTACTTAATGTTCACCCTAGGATGTGGTGATAAGTACCTATCGAAGGGGGATGGACTCCAGATTTCAGCAAGCACAGATTAGAGAGATTTCTTTCTCTTTCTGATGGAGGAGGTGAAGGAGAAGTTGGACTGACTTGCCTAGAACTCCATGTGAGGTGACTGGGACTAAGAATCGTTCTCTGACCCCTCAGGCTCTGCTGCCCTCCCCTCCATGTAATCTTTCCTCACTTTGCTATTTCAGGTCTTGCTAAGGAGCCATTCATAGGCCCGTCCTAAGAAGTAGCATGTATTTCTACTGTCTGGGTTGATTAGCATCTTAGTCAGTTTGAAGGTCATCCATCTCTTTTATTCAAACAAGAAAATGCAAAGTTACCCGAGTAAGCCCTGAAGATCCAAAAGAACTGTTCATGGAGGACTGACAGAGTCATCCCCCCCAAAACCCTGATCATCCAAATGGAGTTAAGATTTTGGAAAGTCTATACTAGCCATGTCAAGACATAAAGTTTTACAAAGTGCTTTTATAAGAATGTTTAGATTCACACACCAACAGGATTCTTTTGCTTTTGCCAAGAATTAGAGGCTAGGTGAATACTCCTTGTGAATACCTTTCAGAGTTTACCAGCCAGGGCTTTTGTCCCTCTGAATCTGACTGGTATTGGGGGTATACCAAAGCTAGGCCCACTAAGAAAGCAGGTAGCTACCAAGTAGGCTCTGTTTACTGTGAATGTCATGAATCTTACAGTGAGCACAGAGAGGCTGTCCATCTGAACCTGATGCAGAATACTATGTCAGATTCTGAGAGGGCAAAAATATGGCAGACTTAGCAAGCCCCAAGGTATTTCTACCACATTTTCTTCATGCATGGCTCAAATTGCCCAGTTCTGATACTTGAGTGTGGCTATGTCACACACCTCACAGAATCCTTGCAGCTTCCTTGTAACATTCGTTTGCCCTTAGAAGTACATGGATTTCCTTCCTTCCTTCCTTCCTTCCTTCCTTCCTTCCTCCCTCCCTCCCTCCCTCCCTCCCTCCCTCCCTCCCTTCCTTCCTTC